AAAATCTAAAATTACCAGTAAATTTTCCTTTTTTAATTTTTTTTTTTTTTTTAAAACTATTCCCTTTTTTTTTTTTTTTTTTTTTATACATAATTTTCCACAAATAAACATTCCACAAAAGAAACTGTGTTAATTTTCTTTTTGTATTTTCTTCATTTTAAACTCTAAACAGAAATAAAATGCTGGTTCCTCAAAAAAAAAAAAAAAAAAAAGTCAACAAATCTCATCTAGTAGCTATTTATGAAAAAAAAGTATCAGTTGTCTTTCACCAAAAGGTCAAGTAATGTTAGCAGCTGTATGTTTTATTCAGCAGGACTTTGAGTTGCCAAGGCAGCAGACCCTTCATCTGGGGCAAGTAAAGGTAGTCAGAGACCTGTAACAAGGGGCTCCTTAGAAACTCCTGAAGACACACGGTACAATTTAATGTGTCACTGATGAAAGCAAAGTTGATCTTTTTTTGGCCAAGGAGCAGCAGGTGGTTCTCTTATAAAACCTCTGAATACTCAATTCAAGTCACAGGATTGTGTGATTGTAGGTGTCATGATACGGGAATATTTGTAATTGTGTAAATAGGTCTATTTATCACAAAGACTGTGTTTTCATACATCAAAATACATGAAAGTGTTGAGTCATCTTAAGGTGAAGAGGAAAAACTTATAGGTTGACATTATGGATTCCCATCCTAATTGCCAAAGTTTTCCTGTTTTTTGGGGGGTTTTTTTACCTCATACAGACTGATCACCAATTTGAGACATTTCTCTTTACATTTGGATTTGGAATGGAATGCGCTATAATCCCAATCCGCTTCCGTGTTTCTAAATAAAACCTGTGATTAGGATTTTAAGTTTTACTCACTTCTTGAAAACACACTCCTATCACTTTGAACACTGATGGTATGTGTATCTTTCAAAAATCATAGTCTGCTGGTAACAATTTTCTCCACAGGGATAGTGTTGATTGAATAAATTGGAATAGTTAAAATGCAGCTCATTGTTATTTCATGAATAAACATAAATAATATCCTCGGGAGGGCATAAAACAGGAAAAAAATATCTCTCTGCAGTAATATTCATTTCAAATATGCATGCAAATCCATTATATGTAAAAACTTCAAAACTGTGCTGCCAGCACGGGGCCCCCTTTTTTTTTTTTTTTTTTAAAGTGGGACTTTCACTGATCAAAGTGCAAAGTGCATTAAGATATTCCACTAGCGGCAAGGTGCGCTAATAACCGCCAGCAAACTGAGAAGCTGTTCTGGATGAGGAAGGAGAGAAGTTTGCATGCTTACAGTTTTCCTGGAGAAGCAAAGGTAGCGAGTGACCTTGGATTTGAATAAGCCGTCCTTCCACAGGTCGGCGTCGGAGCCATCTGTTGTTTGTGTAACCTATGTGGAGAAAACAGGAGGGGAAAAAAAAACAAGGAGAGAGAGAGTGAGAGAGAGGGAGAGAAAAAAACGCATGAAGGAGGTGGGATAAAGTTAATGTATGTATGCCATGGGCGTGCTGCTTTTGCCTTCTTCCTTTGCATACTAGCCTTAATTAACGCTTGCCTACACTTGTGCTCCATCTCATTAGTGCTCTGCGTGGGTAAAGTCTTAGCCTCCAAAAAAGGTGGCTAAAAATACCATCCCTTGGGAGCAGGCTGATTAAAGATGCCCTGACAAGAATCTGCTCTAATAAGGAAACCAAACTTCTATGTGCTTCACTGATGAAGCTGGGATTACATTTGGACCAATTTTTTTTCCCTATATAAAGCAAACCTAGAATAGTCACAATAAGCAAGAAACAGGTAAACTGAAAATACTGTACCTGCAACATCAGTATATGTTTGTAATTTAAAGAAAAACTTTTAAAGAAGAATAAATTATAGTTCATTTAAATCCACTCCTAACCCGCAAAGCAGAACATTCATTTTTGTAAATAAGCAAAAGAGTCACTTTAAGGAAATAGATTGCATCATTCTGACAATATGTGGGCACCATAAGTCAACCTCAAGGTCCTACACTCCATTGCTATGTAAATGTAGGCATGCTTGGGCAAAATAGTGAAAAAAAAAAAAAAAAAAAAGCTGCAGACTGCATCACAGAGACTCTTCAATCGTTCGAGCAAACATGCTTGGCTGAAACGTCATGTTCCATTGGCTATCATGTGAGAATCACCTAAATAACTGCCAGAGTTATTTTCTAAAGGGATCCTTTACAAAGAAGAGTCAATCTAATGAGGTTCATTCAAATGAAGAAGTCATAGATCTCTGCACCCACCCACACACATTACCCCCTTGACAATAATGATGAATGACCCCAGTGGCTATAGGCAGGGGGGAAAACGTGGTGTGGGGAGACTCATCCAAAACCGCTGCTGACTAGATGGGTTGAGAGCGCGGACCGGAGTCGGAAACGGAGACGGATAGAGGGACTGGGGAGAGGAAGAGAACGAGGAGACAACGAGCAGGGGGAGAGGGATCGTTGGGTGTCTCCAACGGCGGAACCACGAAAGGTCCCAGAAGGAGCCCATACATCACCAGCCTCCCTCTTCCTTACAAGACAGCCCGTCTTGGCCACTTTTTCCAGGTCAGTGGCCAGCACATCCTGTCAGCGTAAACAAAGGGCTCGCTTTGTGAAACCCAAAGTCAAGCTGAGGAGTAACGAGGGCACGGTCCTCCGAGGAGGCACCACAGGCTTCACGCCGGCAGCAGGGATGCGACGCAGCTTGAATGCGAAACACCAACCGCTGAGCCACAGCCACAGAAATGTACAGGAAAAAAAAAAAAAAAAACATGAAAAAAGTCACATTGGCCCTTTTCTAACACCCTTACATTTACTTCTGTACAGCTTGATCATTAAACAGACTTCAATGAGAGGAATGTCACATGTGTGATAAGAGACATCATCGCTGTGATATTGAAATATGTCACATCATTTGATTTAAAATGCAAAGACAGAATCACCTGCCACTTGCAGTGATCTGAGAGCCCACCTGTGAAACATGTCTTGAGGGGATGATTAATATTGCTTCTGTATGAAGCATCTCTGGAGACAGACAATGCCGGCGAAGGGCTGCGAAGCACTAAAAGGCATGGCTGTGAATTCAAAGATAAAGGCTTGAAATAAAAAAATCCCTGGAGAGTGAAACCAGGTGAAAAGAAACGGGACAGGTAGAGCAAATCAAACACTCCCTTCAAAGTAGGAGTTGACAACATGGAAAATAAAATGCTTTACATCCTACCTTTGAACTGAAAATAGGAATGACACGACTGAAGATGTGCAATCTTTTAATCTCTCAAACTTCAACTGTTTCCTATATACACCTTTGGGAAGCCAATATTTTTTTTTTAGATTACATCGATTCATATATTACATACACTGATTACTGGAGGGAGGGTCAGCTCATCCAAAAATCTAAATTGAAAGTTTTGAGATTACTCTCCTCTTAAGAAAAATATTCATGTTCATTGCACGGCAGGTGATGTAATAAATCTGGGTCTTCCTTAACTGTCCAAATGTTTTTCACTCTTTACTTGTGTTAACTCTTATGGAGTTTCTGTTGTTATGTGGCCTGGTCTCTGGGCTGTGCAGTGTTGTCAACTCCTCACTAACAATTAGTATTGGCTGTCCTAAAGTTGCAGAAGTTGCTGAATTTGTATCCCCTAATCTGCATAATTGGCTGTGTGTGTAATTGCTATGGTCATTGCAGGAGAAAGGAATAATGTCTGAGCCGGAAAAAAAGTGTAAAATGCACATCATGAATATGTTTACAACTTTCTTCTGTTGATTCTTGTTTTTTTTTTATATATACTTTCCTCCTTTATCTAGACTTGGTGTTGACAAAAAGTTACATTAAAAAGAGAAAGTAGTTAGAATTTTTTTTCTTCTGGTTCTTTTATCATTTTATTTATTTAATTTTTCTGTGTTTTTAAAGCTTTGTCTAGTTTTAGCCAAATGCTCCACATAGACAACAAATACCCAACAGGGCCTTCACTCAATTGTAGTCTGGATGTGGAGGGATACACATCTCCTGTCTGACTACAGTGCAGGGAAGAACAATGTATGATTTCATCCAAAAGTCTCCAAATACACCGGAAAAAGCTGCTACAATTGCTACTAGTTGCTTTAAAAAAAAAAAAAAAAATTCAAAAGAGTCACCACAGTCTGACTGTCAATAGCACGAAAGTCACTAAGTTCCAGCACTGGTGATACGCCATACGGCAAAAAGTACAGACGAAAGGTGAAAATCTAGTCAACATAGTTTGAAACATTATGAAAATATGTGACTTTCTGTCAGTTTTGCCTACACATGATTAACAAAAACTGCACCATGAGCCGAATTATCGTATCGTTCAAGAACGGAGTAAACATGACCATAGGTTTATTGGTTGTTGTAGTTCCACATGTCAATAATTATGAAACTATCCAAAGTTAAAATTACTGTACTCTTGAACATTATGAGTGAGTAAAGCGTCATGCAACCTTCATGAAACAAAATGTGAATTTATCGCATATACATGGCGTATTTTATCTATTTGTCAGACTTGGTATCAAACATCCTGATCAGAGCATCGTCAAACTTAATTACCATTGAAATTAACAACAACTGATGCAAGTTAAAATGCAAATGTAGCTGGCTGCCTCTAAGATTCACGCAGCCCCTTGCTAACAATTCAGACAGAAGCAAGAACACAACGAACACCACAGAAGCCTTTAGATCAGCAGATATTTGACCATACTTCATAGCAGAAAACACATGAGTAGAGCCTGTCGTCAGCATTTTAGCCAGCAAATGACATCAGATTTATGTTTGTCGATGACGTCTGAACACATAGAAAAATGTTTGAACTGCTGGACCGGATCTTGTTCGCTGGAATCAGGGCGTGGTTTGTCCCTCGACATTTGTGGGGCTTTGCATTTCTTTGTGAAAGGAAATCTATAAATACAGGCGTGTGCATAGCTAAGCTACAGGTCTGATAAGTTTCCAGAAATGTTCATGTTTGGGCTTATTTTAGACGTACAAAATAGAGGAAACTTAATCACATACTGCCCAATGGTCCATTGAACAAAATCCAGACATTATTCACCTGCAAACTATTCTGCAGCGAAAATATCCAGAAAAAGAGAATCTCATCATATAATGGGAGACAATTAATAAGCACAAATAACTTTTAGAGGAGCTCTGTGTGGTCTAATCAATTTAATTTATCATTTATTTTAGAATACTTAAATGGGGGTAAAACATGTTCTTTAATACTTCACTAAAGTTTCAATTATCCTAATAACACTAGTGAGGTGTTAAATAAATAATGTAATTAGTAAGATAATAAAAGTGGTACAGTTCCAGTGAATATTAATGCCTTAATTTTTTCTATAGAAAAGAAGCAAGCAATAGAAATACACTCTGACAAAAGAAAAAAAAAAAGAAGAAAAAACCAAGCAGAGACTCACACTAAAACTTGAGTTCACTGTTAAAAATGAAATAGGATTTTTTTAAGATACAAGCTTTGGATCCATTTTGGACCTGGAATGAGTTCTTCTTTGACCTTTTATAGAGAGGAAACTCTGTTCAAAACCTACTCAGCTGCTAACCCCATAAGGCTGTAGCAAAAAAAATAAACTGAAGAGAAAACCTGAAAGTGAATTCAGCTAAAGTTAGCCGATTACTTTGGATTAGCTGAATGCGCTACATCATTAAGGGGCTTCTTTTTTTCCCCATTGTTTGATTGTTTAAAGGAACTCCAGGTTCCGAGTTGGTACAATTTAAGCGGATTAAAATTCCTAATGCAAGATGCCGTCACACCTCATGTAAATGCATGAAGTCTCATAACATAGAGTATATAAATGCTTTATGCCCCAATTAGTTTTTTTTTCTCTCTTTCAATGGGGTCCAAACCTTAATTAGCAGGGTTCAAACTTCACTTTACCTGCTATTTTTTTATTTGCAGTACAATCTTATTTAAGACTGTAGTGGTTATAGCATTTCATTCCAAATTCAACAAAAGTAAAAGTTGTTTTTTTGGGAAAAGCAACTGCGTAACTATAATTACTTTGAGAAACCAACCAGTCTCTACTGATATAAAAAATAATGAATCGTTCATAATTTTATTTTTTTTTTTTTTCGATGTTCCAACCCCTAGAAGTCAAATTTAACAACACACAGGGATCATATTTAGCCATATACTATGAAACATGTAATATTAAAGGAAAACTAAAATAAAGAATTTACTTCAAAGGGCACGAGAACGCCTTTGAAGAGGGTATTAACAATCTAAGGTTTCTATGAAAAAATCTAAATAATAATAAAAATCAGTCTAAATTACTATTGTTGAGGTTTGTATGATTCTCCATAGTGTGGCATTTGGCCTGTGGGTTGAGAGTTTAAACAAACTAGCAATTAG